CCCCCCCCCCCAAAATCCAAAAACTTTTGTCTGAAACATTTTTCCCTAAAATGTACTGTTCAAGAGATATTTGAGGTGATCGATTAAAATGGGATACCCTGCGTGTGTGTGTGTGTGTGTAGGATGTTGAAAAACAACATGGCACAAATTTATCTATGTGTTCCTCAGACAATTCTAAGAACAAAAGTTCATATAAACATGTGTCTGAAACGACTTAGTTTTTGAGATAGAGGGTTTTGAAAATTGCAATTTTTTTGTAATAATATAATAATATATAATAATAAATTGTCTTAAAAACATTGAATTTTTAAAATTTGATATTGAAACAGAATTGTTTTTCTTATCACAAAGATAGGGTTAAAACTACTCCACACTTTTTTTATTACCCTTATTTCTAGTTTTTATTCAAAAACTTTTTTGGCGTTTTCAGAAAGGGTTTAGGAGGATGTATGATAAGTACCCGTGTTTAACGACTGACGGCGTCACTCACTCATCAGTCTATATACCATCGTTTAATGCCATCTTCTGAACGACGCCAGTCAAAATTTCTGAAAGATTTATCGAGTAGTTTTGTTTTGATAACTGTTGAAAGTGGACAAGTTTTGTATTTGTTTGCAACCATGGAAAAAGAGCAATATCAGCCATTAATTCGATTCCTTTTTCTTGGATAGAAAGACGTGTGAAGACATCAAAATGAAGTTGCATGTCGTTTATAAGGCTCATGCACTTTCGATGACTACCATCAGATATTGTTTCAATGAATTCAAGCATGGCCGAACATCCGTTTTTGATGAAGAGCGCCCAGGTCGCTCGATTGAGGTGACTACGGAGGATATGGTTATCAAAATCCATAATATCGTATTAGCAAGCCGCCGGATGAAGATCAGAAAGATTGCTGACATTGTAAATATCTCAATTGAACGTGTACAAAATATCCTACATGAAAAATTGGACATGAGAAAGCTATCAGCGAAATGGGTGCCGCGTTTGCTCACAGTGGAACAAAAACGGAATCGCATGACAACTTCGGAGCACTGTTTGAGCGCAATCCGAAAGAGTTTCTGCGGTGTTTCATCATTGTTGACGAAACATGGACCCATCACTACACGCCAGAAACGAAAGAACAGTCAAAATAGTAGACTTCATCCAATGAACCTGCTTCAAAGAAGGCAAAACCGGTTTCATCGGCTGGAAAGATCATGGCCACCGTTTTTTGGAATTCGCGAAGCATCATTTTCACAGACTATTTAGAGAAGAGAAGGATAATCACGGAGCAGTACTATGCTGATTTATTGAGCCAATTCGACCCTGAAGTGAAGAGAAAACGGTTCCATTTAGTAAAGAGAAAACGGTCCCATTTGGTGCACTTTCATCATGATAACATACCAGCTCATTCGTCCGCAATCGCCACAGCAAAACTGATCGAATTACCCTACGAATTGCTGTCTCATCTACCCTATTCTCCAGATTTGACTCCCTGCGATTTCTATTTATTTCCAAATATGAAAGAATGGCTTGGCGGAAAACGGTTCACGTCAAACGAGAAAGTCATCGCCGAAATAGAGGCCTTTGCGGAGGCATTTTGCGGAGTTCGGCAAATTATATTTTTTGAATACCAGATATGTAAATATGAAACCGTAATTTTTGTATAGAAAATACACGTTTATTGTATGAAAATGATAAAAAATATTTTATTCGAAGTATTGCCCATCGCTAGCTACACATTTTTCCCACCTGTCTGACAATTTGTGGATGCCACGCCAAAAAAACTGTTGTTCTTTTGAAGAAAACCAGTTATCGAGCCATTTTTGTACATTTTCGTACATTTTCGTACATTTTCGTACATTTTTTCGTACATTCTCGTAAGAAGTGAAGCGCTGCTTAGCAAGTGCGTGTCCCATCGATGCAAATAAATAGTAATCGGAGCCAAGTCTGGTGAGTAAGCCGCATGCGAAAGTATTTCCCAACTAAACGCTTCAATCATTTCCTTGACCAGTTTTGCTGTGTGTGATGGTGCATTATCATGAAGCAAAATCACTTTGTGTTGCCTTCTTTATATTCTGGTTGTTTTTCACGCAAAGCTTGAAAATTAATCATTTGTTGTCGGTAGCGTTCAGTATTAACGGTTTGGCCAGGTTTTAGCAGCTCATAATAGATCACACCAAACAG